GTGTGTGTGTGTGTGTGTGTGTGTGTGTGTGTGTGTGTGTGTGTATTTATGGAGTACATGAGATATTTTGATACAGGTGCACAATGCATAATAATCACAACAGGGTAAAAGGGGTATCCCTCACTTCAAGCATTTATCCTTTCTTTGTGTTGCAAACAACCAATTACACTCTTTTAGTTATTTCTTAAAAGCACAATAAATTACTGTTGACTATAGTTGCCCTGTTGTGATTTATAGCCTATTTTTAAATCATATACTTAAATCAAGTTCAAACAACAAATTACTAAGTTAACAAATATTGCTAATGTAATATTTATTCAAAGATTATTAAATAATCTGCTTTTATATTTTGAGATTCAGTATTAATAGAAAATTTCTAAACTATCCAATGGTCAGGTTTATCATTCTCCCTTCCTCTGAATAAGGAATGTTCAAGAAATAAAGTAAACCAACAAGGACAATTTCAAAATTCCAAAATTTCCAAAGCAGAATTTAAAAATACGGTAACTTATAACTCAGAGTTATCAAGTCCTAAATACCCAAAGTACTGCTTTTTAAGTCTGCCTCATATCTTGACAATAGTCTTATTTAGAAGAGGGAAGAAATACGTAACTCACCTTTGTACACCATACGGCCTTTCTAAAATAGGCTCTTTGAATGGTGGTGGAATGTGACCAAAATAATCAGGATAAGCCACCTCTGAATATTCTGGGACAGACTTTGTATTTTTCACAATCTCAATATAGAGGTCTGGGTCATGGAGTGTTGGTCCATCAGGTACTTCAACTGATGCTTGTTCTACTGATGAATTTGACTCAGTATCTTCATCATCTTCAGTTTCAACTCCAGTGCAGCAAAGCTTCCCTAGCTGAACTGTTCTTCCCTCAAACAGGACATTTCCACAGGCAGCCATATGTGGACATGCTTTAGCACATGTAAGGACAGTGAGAGGAAGACTGCAGTCCTTCTTCGTTTCTGCAGTAAAACCTGGGGCTGTTTGAGAAGGAATATTCTGCAATGTAATTCGGTCCAAGGCCTTCACAATATCATTGTTTAAACCATGAACTGATGAAATAGTTCTATTTTGATCACCTGGCTGCTGTTGCAATGTTCTATCATCTTTAATATCTTCTTTTGCCAGATCCATAAAGGTGGACTTCTTTTCACCTTCATCTCCTCTAGAAGGTATGTTCTCCTTCATTACAACTTTTCTTAAACTGCCAGAATTCCCAGATGTTTCCTCGCCTGCTGTAGGAACAACAATAGGACCACGTACTTTTCCCTCAAATACAAAAGGCTTTGGTTCTTTGGAGATTAAATCATAGTCCTTTGAAAATTAAAAAAAAAAAATGTTTAATCTTTTAACTGTAAATATTAAAACATATTAACAAAACTAATACATTCATTTTATATACTGCTTCAGAAACCTTTGAAAATTTTAAAGATGGATAAAACAGGATATGCTTTCATTTCACTAACAAAAGACAAAATTTTTAACCACAACAAAATTTGTAACATCTACTTTACTTTTTCTATTATAAAAATAATGTCTATTGACAGTATCACAGAAATGTGGGAAATCTTAGAAAAGTAGAAACACTTAAAGAATTCAAAATTCTATTAGGGACAACAACTAAATTGTTATTCATTAATGCAATAATGAATAACAGTGTCTATTTTGTGCAATACTTATGAAGTGTCTATTTTGTGCCAAGCCTTGTTTCAGGTACTTAAGACACTTAAAAAACCAACTCTTCCCTTTTGTAGCTTACATTTTTATAGGAGTAGAAGAGAGGACTGTCAATACAAGTAATAAATACAATATATATTTTATATATAGAACATTAGAAGGGTAACATTACAAGAGGGCAAGGCCAGGCACAGTGGCTCACATCTGTAATCCCAGGGAGGCTGAGACAGGTAGATCACCTAAGGTCAGGAGTTCAAGACCAGCCTGGCCAACATGGTGAAACCCTGTCTCTACTGAAAATATAAAAATTAGCCAGACATGGTGGGACACCTGTAATCCCAGATACTCAGAAGGCTGAGGCATGAGAATCGCTCGAACCTGGGAGGTGGAGGTTGCAGTGAGCCGAGATCATGCCACTGCACTCCAGCCTGGATGACAAAGTGAGACTCTATCTCCCCACCAAAAAAAAAAAAAAAAAAAAAAAAAAAGGAGGGAAGGACAGGCAGGACATAATGTGGATTGGAAGAACCAAGAGAGCAGAGGGAGGTGGCATCTCTAAATGTCATTGATTAGGGAGCCTCACTGAGCGGGTGAAATAGAAACAAAGACTTTAAGAAGGTGAGGGCACCACACAAGAGGTGCATTCCAGGCAGAGAGGACTGCAGGACATAGCTCCCAGAGTGGAGGAATACCGGAGGTGTTCAAAGAACAGCAAGGATAGGATGGCTGGGAAAGAATGAGTAAGATGAATGTCAAGCGCTGGAGAACCATACAGACTATAAAAATTGGGGCTTTTACTTTGAATGAGATTGGAAGCCAAGACAGGGAAGAATGCCATGACGTGAGTTATTTTTGAAAGATAAGATCCTAGTCCAGGGTTTCTGAATGACAGCAGCAAACATTTTGGGCCAGATCATTCTTTTTTGGATAAGGTGTATATTTAAGTCACTTCCAAAATTTTGTTATTATACAAAACGGCAATAAAAATCTTTTTTGCAAAAAATTTTTCTTTTGTTTATAATGATTTCCTAAGCACTGAAATGTACATACAAAATCAGATATTATCATCAATTTTAATGCTTACTGCAAACTGACCAGAACACCAAACTCTCCAAAAACATTTGTAGCAATGTGTATTTCCAGTAACTACACATGAGAGTATCTATTTCAACTGCTCTATTCTTTGCCAACATTCGATACTATAGTGTTTTTTAAAAAAATTTTGGATGTGGTAGATAAGAAATATTATCTTACTGCTATTTTAATTTGTATTTCTTTGACTACTAGGAAGCACTTTTCTATATATCTGTTAAACAGTTGCAATTCTTCATAGGTAACTTTTTTGTTCCTGGATACAGGGTTCCCTTATTTTGTGGTATAAATTTTCATGTTAAAAAATTTGTATACATACACATACACTAATCCTCCAGCTGACCCATTGTTTGAAAATATTTTTCTGGATTTGCAATTGATCTTTTAATTTGGGTTAATTTATTTATACACATTATGGAATCAAAATTAAGAATCTTCCATTGTGACTCATTCATGCTCACTGTATACAAAGCAAGGATTCGAAGTTGATTCACAGAACTCCCTGTACTATATAGCTAAGCCAAAAAGACAGTGGAAGCACTAAGGAAGATATAGGTAGTTCCACACTAAAAGGGCTAAAGGGGTAATAAATTTGCATTAAAAAACACATTTTGGGAGGGGAGGATCCAAGGTGGCCGAATAGGAACAGCTCTGGAGTGCAGTTCCCAGCGAGAACAATGCAGAGGGTGAGTGATCACTGCATTTCCAAACAAGTTGTTACTGCCCACAGACCAGGAGATTCTCAGCCGAAAAGCTCCACAAGTTTCCAGCACAGCTGTTTCAGCTGGGGCCACAGGTTTCAGCACAAAAACTCACACAAACCTGGGCAGCTGTTTCAACTGGCACCTAGAATGCCTGGGAGACAGAGCCGCCCATTCAACTGAAAAAGACGGGGCTGAAACAGGGAGCCAGGTGATCTGGCTTGGCAGGTCTCACCCCCGACAAAGACCAGCAATCTGAAACACTCTGGATTGAGAGTCTAGCAGTAAGCACAGCTGGACCCAGGATGGTCCAGCTCAGTAGGGGGATGGGCATCCACCATTGCCGAGGCAGTCCGCCATTGCTGAGGCAGACCGCTATTACCAAGGCAGTTGTAACTGTACCTCTGTAAACAAAACCACAAGGAAGTTTGCACAGCAGCAGGGGAGAGCCTGCAGCAGCTCAGCAACACCTCTGTTGGCAGATTGTGACTAGACTACCTCCTTGCTGGGCAGGGCATCTCTGAAAAAAGGCAACAGTACATCAGGAACTTATAAATAAAGCCCCACCTTCCCAGGACAGAGCCCCTGGGAAAAAAGGCAGTTATGAGTTCCACTGCAGCAGACTTAAAGGTACCTACCCAGCAGCCCTGAACAAACAACAGAGCTCCCAGAACAGTACTTGAGCTCCTATAAGGGACAGACTGTCTCCTCAAGCAGCTCCCTGATCCCTGTACATCCAGAGAGACATCTCATAAAGGAGAGCTCAGGCTGACATCTGGCGGGCACCCTTCTGGGACAAAGATAACAGAAGAAGAAACCAGCAGCAACCCTTACTGTTCTGCAGCCCCCACGGGTGATCTCCAGGCAAGGAGGGTCTGGAGTGGACCTCCAGCAGTCCTGCAGCAGAGGGGTCTGTTAGAAGGAAAACTAAAAAACAGAAAGAAATAGCTTCAACATTAACAAAAAAGACATCCACTCAAAGACCCCATCAAAAAGTCACCAACTAAAAAGACCACAGGTAGATAAATCCACGAAGATGGGAAGAAACCAGCACAAAAAGGATGAAATCACCAAAAACCAGAATGCCTCTCCTCATCCAAGGATCGCAGCTCCTCACCAGCAAGGGAACAAAGCTGGATGGAGAATGAGTCTGATGAATGGACAGAAACAGGCTTCAGAAAGTGGGTGATAACAAACTTCTCTAAGCTAAAAGAACAGGTTCTAACCCAATGCAAAGAAACTAAGAACCTTGAAAAAAAGTTAGATGAAATGCTAACTAGAATAAACAGCTTAGAAAAGAATATACATGACTTGATGGCGCTGAAAAACACAGCTTAAGAACTTGGCAAAGCATACACAAGTTTCAGTAGCCGAATCGACCAAGCAGAAGAAAGGATATCAGAGACTGAAGATCAACTCAATGAAATAAAATGAGAAGGCAAGATTAGAGGAAAAAAAAGTAAAAAGAAATGAACAAAGTCTCCAAGAAATATGGGATTATGTGAAAAGACCTAATCTGCGTTTGATCGGTGTATCTGAATGTGATGGAGAGAATGAATCCAAGCTGGAAAACACTCTTCAGGATATTATCCAGGAGAACTTCCCCAACCTCGCAAGGCAAGCCAACATTCAAGTCCAGGAAATGCAGAGACCACAAAGATATTCCTCAAGAAGAGCAACCCCAAGGCACATAATTGTCAGATTCAACAGGGTTGAAATGAAGAAAAAAATGCTAAGGGCATCCAGAGAGAAAGGGCATCCACAAATGGAAGCCCATCAGACTCACAGTGGATCTCTCGGCAGAAACCTTATAAGCCAGAAGAGAGTGTGCCAATATTCAACATCCTTAAAGAAAAGAACTTTCAACCTAGAATTTCATATCCAGCTAAACTAAGCTTCATAAGCAAAGGAGAAATAAAATCCTTTATGGACAGCAATTGCTTAGAGATTTCGTCACCACCAGGCCTGCCTTACAAGAGCTCCTAAAAGAAGCACTAAACATGGAAAGAAACAACCAGTACCAGCCACTCCAATAACATACCTAATGGTACAGAGTATTGACACAATGAAGAAACTGCGTCAACTAATGGGAAAAACAACCAGCTAGCATCAAAATGTCAGCATCAAATTCACACGGGACTATATTAACCTTAAATGTAAATGGGCTAAATGCCCCAATCAAAAGACACAAACTGTCAAATCAGATAAAAAGTCAAGACCCATCGGTGTGCTGTATTCAGGAAACCCATCTCACATGCAACGACACACATAGGCTCAAAATAAAGGGATGGAGGAAGATTTACCAAGCAAATGGAAAGCAAAAAAAAAGCAGGAATTGCAATCCTAGTCTCTGATAAAATGGACTTTAAACGAACAAAGATTGAAAGAGACAAAGAAGGGCATTACATAACGGTAAAAAGATCAATGCAACAAGAAGAGTGGACGATCCTAAATATATATGCACCCAATACAGAAGCACCCAGATACATAAAGCAAGTTCTTAATGACCTACAAAGAGACTTAGACTCCCACACAATAATAGTGGGAGACTTTAACACTCCACTCTCAACATTAGGCAGATCAATGAAACAGAAAATTAACAAGGATAATCAGGACTTGAACTTAGATCTGGACCAAGCGGACCTAATAGCAACAGAAAGCTCCATCCCAAATCCACAGAATATGCATTCTTCTCAGCACCACATCATACCTACTCTAAAACTGACCACATAATTGGTTAAGTAAATCACTCCTCAGCAAATGCAAAAGAACGAAAATCATAACAAACAGTCTCTCAGACTACAGTGCCATCAAATTAGAACTCAGGATTAAGAAACTAACTCA